AGGCTGGTGGCTACCGCACAGGACAGCAGTTTTAGATGCTTGGGATACAGCACTGAAGCCTATTACTGGCAGCCATGCCCAGCACCACAGCCCGGGCCAAGAGCCCGTGATGCTTGCTTGTTTGCCCAGAGGCCCTGGCTTCTGACCCTGTTTTAGGCACTTCTCAGCACAGTGGGCGGACGGATCGTTTCAAAAGCTCAATCATATCCCATCAGTTTTCTATCTGAAACCCTTCAATAGCTCCCGCTTTTACAGAGTAAACGATGAATTGCTGTGTAAGGTGACAGATATTAGCTAGATTTGTTGTGATGCTCATTTCACCAAGGTCAGGTACACCTGAAACTAACAGAACGTTTTATGTCAATTACACCTCAGTCAATGAAAGAAAAAAGAAAACAACGTCTCCGCAAAGACCTGAAGACCATGTAAAGGACCCACTGCGTGCTGCTCTGCCGTCCCATTCCGCCTTTGTCCTAGCCTCCTGGCTCACGCCACCACTCCAGTTCATTCTCGGTGTTGCTCCTCCGTCTCACAGGCTCACCCCTGCTCTCAGCCTCTATCTTGGCTCTCCCCAGGGCCTGGAACAGCTTCCTCTGCATCAACCTCCTCCACCTCCTTCAAGGCTGCTCCAATGTCGGCTTCTGTACGGAGCGTTGCCCCACCAGCCAACTTAACACTGCAGCCCACCCCAGGCCTCCAGACTCCTGCTCTACCTGCTGCCTTAGAACGAATTATCCTCTAAAGCACTATTAACAGGACACCTGGGTGGCTCAGTTGTCAAGTGTCTGCCTTCCTTCAGGTCATGATCTCGGGGTCCTGGGATGGAGTCCTGCATCCGGCTCCCTGCTCAGTGGGGAGTCTGCTTTATTTATTTGAGACAGAGAGAAAGCGAAAGAGAGAGAGAGAGAGAACAAGCAGAGGGAGCAGCAGAGGGAGAGGGACAGGCAGGCTTTCCACTGAGCAGGGAGACCCACATGGGGCTTGATCCCAGGATCCGGGGATCATGACCTGAGCCACCAAAGGCAGACATTTCACTGACTGAGCCACCCAGGTGCCCTCAACATACGAATTTTGGAAGGACATAAACATTCAGTCCATAACAAATACCATGGAGAAAAATAAATCTCAGGAGGGGAAATGAAAGAATACAAATATAGCAACTACCACTTATATAATAACTATCACATGCCAGGCCTGGTGCTAGGCACTTCACGCCCAGCGGCACAGCAGGGCCAGAGTCACTCTGCACAGAGTGGGTGCAGTTTCTGCCTCCACCAGTTCCACATCTCCCTCTGAGGACCACCCTGCCCCACCGTGCGGCTTGGGCTGGAAAGGATGCTAGAGGAGGGCAGGGATTTTTATCTCTTTCCTTCCCTGCTGGATCTCCAGCAGCTAGAACAGTGCCTGGCACACGGCAACTGCTCAGCAAATGAACGAACGGATCCATCAGTCTTGAGCTGAGTAGCAGAGTGACCAAGCAAAGGGAATCCTGAAGAAAAATCAGGAACGACTGCTCTTCTGTCTCTGTCAAGAACTTACTTCCTCTGTGCTAAGTGCTCTGCACCATCCCAGAGAGGGAAAAACCATTCTCCCTGCATCGAGCTGAGAGGTTAAGTCACCTGCAAAGACAGACTGAGGCCTGAGAGGTACCCACCCCCACTTCCCTGTCTTTTTTTCGGAGACCTGCTTCTGCAGCTTCCCTGATCGCTTATCTCTTTCCTACTTACAACAACCAGCCTTTCTCTCAGATGCTTGCAAAGACCTCTAGTGAAGTCACTGCCATCTTGTCATCTGTGTCCCCAGAATGTCACCTTTACATTAAAATGTATTCAGAAACCACTACTCCAAGCAGCCACAGGAAGTAATAAAAACCCAGTAATTGTAGCAGTAATATTAGCTCACTTCTACAGAGGGTTTACTATGAGCCCAGGCCCTCTGCCGAATGCCTGCTGTTCATCCCCGATTTCCTCCTCACGCCAACTTGTGAAGCAAGTGCTTTACTGTCCCCATTTTATAGATGACAAAACTGAGGCTTACAGAGGTGAAGTAACTTGCCCCCAAAATAACCCTGATCTGCACTACCTCTTATAGGCATTACCCAGATGCCTCCAGCAGCTACCTGGTTTCCTTCTCTTTCTTCAGGGTTCGTTCCCACGGGGCAAACCCTCCACTTCCCAACACTTTGGGCTGTTTCATCTCTAAGACAATGAGAATAGACTAGGGGCTGCTTGATTCCTTAAAAACAAAGCAATCCTTGACAGTCACCTGATTCAGATGAGAACCAGGGCTGTGTTAGCCACCAGACTGGTGAAGACCACCGGCCCCTCCTCACCCAGCCCCTCCTCGCGCCACCCTCCCCTGCTCTCAAGCAGCTCATGGCTAAGAAGGGAAAAAGAGGCAGGTAAAGAAGTAATCCTGGGGCTCAGATTACCCACCAGACACCAGCAAAACAACATCCTCTACCTTCACCCCCCCACACAAAAAGAGGAAGAGAAAATAAAGGAAAAACAAGTCAGAATTCTGCCACCAAAAATGACTGAGACCATTTTGGCCTCGTGAATGTAAGTCTTGTGTTTTATGACCCATGGTGTCATTGTTTTTACCGACAGGGTTGAAAGAGGGGCTACGACAATCTCTGGATAGGGGGTTTGGAAGCTACTGGAGCTGCACACATGCAGGATAAAGGCAAGGACTCAGAGCAGTTGCCGGGAATGTGCAGGAAGGGGAAGATTTGCTCAAAGAGCCCTATCTCCCATCTGCTGTGATGTTGATGGTCATTAAATGCCGGTTACGAAGTCAGGCAGGGTGCCTGGTTGTGGCACTTTACAAACACTCACAGATTCTGCACTATGTCTGAGCTTCCTGTCCGGGCTCCGGGGGGCCTTTGCTCCCCAGGCTCTGGGGTCAGAGCTCTGCAGACACTAAAGGCCTGTCTCAGGCTCCGTGGCCCCACAAGGCGCAGCCCAATCCAAGGGTCGGAAGAGGCAGGCAGCCAGAGCCAGAGGTGTCTTTGTACAAGATGTCAGGATTGGGGCACCTGGGTGGCTCAGTCATTAAGCATCTGTCTTTGACTCAGGTCATGATCCCAGGGTCCTGGGATCCAGCCTTGTAATCAGGTTCCCTGCTCAGTAAGAAGCCTGCTTCTCTCTCCCCCACCCTCACTCCCTCTGCTTGTGCTCCCTCTCTCGCTCTCTGTCAAATAAATAAATAAAATCTTAAAAAAAAAGATGTCAAGATTTCTGTCCTGCCTGAGTCCTGCTGCTCTTGGTCAAAAAGCATCCTTTGCATATTCTTTTTTTTTTTTTTTAAGATTTTATTTATTTATTTGACAGACAGAGCTCACAAGTAGGCAGAGAGGCAGGCAGAGAGAGAGAGAGGAGGAAGCATGCTCCCCGTGGAGCAGAGAGCCTGAAGTGGGGCTCTATCCCCGGATCCTGAGATCATGACCTGAGCCGAAGGCAGAGGCTTAACCCATTGAGCCACCCAGACACCCCATCCTTTGCATATTCTTAATTTCACTGCCCTCTTACTTCTGGGAGCAGGCCCTGGGCCAAATCCTGACGGCAGTGTTAGTTCCCACCTGTGTGATTTCAGGGCTACTTTCAACCACTCTGAGCTGTGGGTTCCTCATCTACAAAATTCTGGTAATAATAATAATTTTATATGATCATTGGGCGATTAAGTGAGATAATATATTTAAAGCCTTTAAAACCGATGCTGGCCCATGATAAGAACCTCATCATCGCTAGATACTTTATTATAATTGCCTGGTGAGGTTGTTAGGAGCATACAATCCAAAGAACATGCTTGGCATAATATATAATTTCCTGTTATTATAGGAACTACTATCATCATTATTATTTATTATTATTACTATTGTTATTAGTTCCTTATATTACTTGGAGAAACAGAAGAGACGGAGGAAGCACCTATGAGAGAACCATCTGAGCAGCGTTCTCCAGTAGGCCGAGAATTTCTGAGGCTTACTAGGTAGACTATAGAAGTGGCCATCAATGGGGCTTATCAATGTTGCTCTGTTGCCACCTTGGATCCGGGGCTCCCTATAGACCCAGGATACAGAACAAGGGAGTCCTGGTCTCTTAAAGAGATCACAAACCAGCATCAGGAGAGAAGGAAAAAAACAAATACAAGGAGAGTGATGTGTCTACAGCCAGCTGTGAAAGGGAATGCAAAATAAAAGGCCCAAGCATCCAGGAGGGCATCTGACATAAAAGAGCCACAGTCAAGTACAGCCTTTAATAGGCCCATGGCCACATCGCCAGACAATTCATTCCGGCAACTATCCGGTCCTCAGATTCCTCAGAAAAAGGCTGATCTGCCATTGGTCTGGCCAAATTCAGGGATATGAACACAAAGAAGAAGAAAGCAGGGGTGTCTTATCATCCAGGAGACTCTTGAGCTGAGCTGTTGGAGAAAAGTGTCCATCCCAGGCAGGCAGAAGGTTCCAACCCCAGCCAGCCTGCCTGCCAGCCATTCAAGAAGAAAAAAAAAAAAAGCTAAAGCCCATGGGATTGACTGGATGTGGACAGGGAGAATTTCCTCCGGTGTTTTAGACCAGCAATCACAGAGACCAGTGGGGGTCGGAGATCTCAGAACGGAGAAAAAGAACTCCCTCCTTCTAAGCCAAAAAAGCTCCAGCCACGGACAGAAAGAGCACACCAGACAGCATGGGGGAGGGAGGGAGGGGAGAGGGAGGAAGAGAGAGGAAAATCCGAAAAAGCAGCTGATTTGTCTACACTTCCAGAGAAGCCTGGCTTATGCAGGATTCTGCACTCAGAGTAAGTAAAGCCACAACAATAAACAGGACCCTTCACCAGACCAAACTACAATGTGACCACATAATAAATCCCCTCTGGGAATTCAATGGGTACAGCATTATGGTTGACCCTGGACCCAGCCAGCCTTTCCATCACCAGACCCACACGAGGAATTCCAGTTAAGCCCTCTGCCAACGGCTCAGACCACGAGGCCATCCTCACCTCTAAGATGTAACTCCCCTCGTCGTGGAGACCGGGCCACGAGTCTTTGCCCAGCCAGCGATTCTGTTTGTCCTTCTGCTGCTTCCAAGGTTTTTCTCCTAATAAATCTTTCAGGAAGTTCCACTCAGGGTTGAGAGGATCCATACAAGTGCCTTTTCCACTGGTTAGAGTTTTAGAAAGATTTGCTGTGACCACAGGACTGTGTCAAATGAACAAGCCTCAACTTGTCAAGGCCAGTATGCAAAATAGGTCTGCAACATCCTATGACTAACAGCAGAGCAGATACAGTCCCTGTCCTCCAGGCCCCCGCCCACCCACCACACACAAACACACGTTTTTCTCCAGGCTTTGCTTCCTCCAGCAGCAAAACAGCTCCAGGAGGCAGGACTCACAGTGGTGGAGTGGGCCAGCCGGGGTTGCCAGCCTCCCTTTGGAAAACATAAGACCAGAAAGGAAAACCAAAACTTCACTCTCTACTCCCTAAAAACCCTCGCAAGTGATTTCCCCTCTTCTCTCATCTTCTGGAAGGGCCTGAAGCCAGGGGCTCCCGTGAACAGAAGAATATTCCATGCTTACAGAGTATCAGGAAAATTCATAGTGTATCCGGGCACCGGACACATGCAGCCTCATGGCTGCCTTCCTGAAAGTCAATACCCACCCCCAACACTGGCAAGAATAAGAGCATGTTAGTCCAAGGAGAGTAAACACAATTACACCAACAAGCCATCCAAAAAGAAGGACCATGAGAAGGGTGTGGGGGGCACCCAGCAAATCTGTAAATACAATGCAAAAGCAGAGAAAGTTTCCAAAAACAGTTTCTGGGTTTTTGAAAATCATCTGGTGGGGGAAGATAATGGTCAAAGGATGGAGGCCGCATCACATGCTTCACAGACCTCCAGCTTCTCAAAAGGGTCCTCCAAACCCTATCTGCGACCCCAAATCGGTACTGATTGGAGGAGCTCTATTTTTAGGTGTTCGGTAACAATACACCTTCCATCAAGTGCACAAACCCAGAATTATCTCACGCATGCATTGTCCATTTGATGTCTCCCCCCCCACCCCGCCCCCCACCAACGCCCAAACTCACTGCCACTCTCCAGTCTGGTGATGAGGAAAGTGCGCGGTTAACAAGCACACATCGGAATCCCAAAGCCCCTCTCCTCCGTCCAGCTACTCTCTGCGCATCCCAACTCGCCAGGCCTAGGCTTGCGAGTTCCCAGAAACGCAGAGGGCAAAATTCTAACTTACTGGAAGGTGGATCCCGCTGTGTCTCGGCAGGTCGCCGGGACTGCCAACACCCTCTCCGCGTGGAAATCCGCTCGGGGCCCCGGGGGGTGTCGGGGTCCGTCCCTGCGCGCTGCCCCTCGCTGCCGGTCCGGGTCCAAGCCGCCCCGAGCCTGCCCAGCCCGCGGGCCCATGTGCTCGGCGGCCGCACGCGCTCTGCCCGCTGGAGCGCGGGGCTGGCGGGCCGCCCGTGACGTCACGGCGGCTCGCGCTCGGGCCGCGGGGGAGGGGGAAGCGCGCGCCGCCCGGCCGGCCGCGTGCGTCCCGGGTCCCCGCGCGCCCGGTGCTCGCTGGCCCCGGCTCCTAACCGCCCCGCGCGTCCCTCCGCCCGCCGCCGGGGCAGCGCGGGTCGCCCAGCGTCCGAGGGTTGCGCGAGGAGGCGGGGCGGGCCTCGGGCGCCTTGGCCGCGGAGGACCCAGAAGACGCTGGGTGGGGGGAGGGGAGCGGAACGCTGGGTACCCGGAGAGAGGGTGGGGGGAGCGCTCGGCACCGGCGGGGGTCCCGGCTGCACTGGCGCCCAGGCCAGAGCGAACCCGCGCGAACCCTGCGGGGATGCCCGCGCGCTGGAGCGCCGCGATTTCCGCACTCCTGCTCCCAGCCTTCCTCCCCATCCTGGCGCTCTGGAAGCAGGGAGTCTTCCCACTTGCCGGATGGGGAAGGTGAGGTCTGTGAAACAGAAGAACCAAGATGCCCTGAAATGGGAGGGGAGACCCCTGTCTGAGCTCCATCCCTAGCGATCCGAGCGCCTCCGTGGGTACCACCCAGCATCCGCGGGCCTGGCGAGGGGGGCACACGCACCTTCCCACCTTCTAGGATCTCCCTCTCCTTCTCCAAAGGCTGAGGTTGGCAACCCCCCCCTCCCCCGTAGAGAGCCGCTGTCTGCACCGTTCCCTCCACCATAAAGTATGACAGTCCCCCACCCCCACCCCCCAGTGCCCAATAGTCCCTCCGAAGGAACTCCGGAGCGCACGCCTTTTTGTTTTCTCCTCGTTATCCCCGGACTGGACCTATGCAAGGAGCTGTCTCTTTTCAGTTGAGCATTTATTGAGCACCTACGTACGGGGAGCCGAAACCCTGCGAGGTGACGGAGTTGGGCACAGACCATGGAAGGTCACAGTCCGGTGAAAAGATGGACGCAAGTGGGTGATTTCGGTATTATGGAAGCTAAGGCTTCCCCCATCTCCCCACCTAATGCCTAACCTGTATCATTTCTACCACCCACTCCTCCCTCCCTCTCGTGTCATATTGTTCTATTTCCATAGCTTCTTCCCGACGTGAAGCGTTCTCCTCTCTTGGAAAAGGGAAAAAAAAAAATGTTCCGTTGATGCTTGCAGACTGCCCGCTACACATACCTGTTTATAATCACGAAACAGTGATTTGGGCCTGGCGCCTTTGGGAGCTGGATGCGTGTCTAGGCTATGGTGGTCAAACCTCAGCACCGATCCAACAGGCTGTAGGAGCTGTGCGAACTTAGTCCTCTGATTGCTTAAATGTTCTCCCAGGAACCAAGGTCATCACCGGGGAGGGGACGGGGAGGGGGCGCGGGGGTGGGGGCATAGTTGCCTGCTGGATGCTCCCAGGCCACCGGAGGCCCAGCTTCTAAAGGCAACCTCAATTCCCTTCCCGAGTCGGGACAGGCTACAGATCCTTCCGTTAGCTGCCTACCCTGGGGCCTCTCTGGGCTGAAAAGACACCTTGCCCTAGGACTCCTTCAGCCTTGACCTTGACTCTGTGTGCCATCTCTAAATACCTAATACACTAATCCTGGGCTCACAATTTTCCTTTTTGAAAATTCTTCTTTAAAATTAAAAAAAAAATTTTTTTCAGGAAAATACAAAATATTTCAATATCCCTACCTTGAAAAATTAACTTTTTATTTTTTTATTTAAATTGAATTTAATTTACATATCCTGTATTATTAGTTGCAGAGGTAGAATTTAGTGATTCAGCAACTGCATATGACACCCACAAAATTAACCATCTTTTACATTTTGGTATATTTGCCCCCAATTGTTTTTTTTTTTTTTTAAATCATTTGTTTTTGCAAAAGTGGTACAGAATATGTGCATTGTAAAAAATTGAAACTAATGCAAGAAAATACAGAAAATAAAAGGAAACCAAAACTTTATCAGCTAGAAATAATTTTCATGAATAGTAGATAAATCCCAGACATTTATCTTTTATGATATATATATGTACATATACATATATATAAAATAAAAAAGCAGGGTTGACAGAATAGATAGATTAAAAAAATAAATCTATTGTAAAATATTAACACCTTAAAGTTGCTGTTTTCAAATTTAAGGTATTATACTTCCTCTTAATAGAAGAAAGGGAAGCTGATAGGAAGCTGAAAGAATTACTGGAACATTGTCAATGTTTCTTTACCCCATGAGAGATGTTTTTTCCTAAATAATTCTACAAAGGTTCAGAAAAGCAACGGTGAAAAACGAGAAGAGAGTGAATCTGGGTCTCTCCATTTTACAGAGCAGGCAAATCCTTCCAGGACGCCAGCACATTTCCTCTCACCTTCCCTGACTTTGCCTCCTTTATCTGTGCCGCTGATACTCCATGGCCTCCCTCTACTTTTTAACCGTGATGCTCATGATCGGTTAGTCTGGGGTCTATAATGAAATAATCTCATGCTCACGTCCAGTCCTTTGCTTTTCCACATCCGCTTCTTCGTCTACAAAATCATCCACTTGTTTATCACACACTATGGAGCCCCTAGTGTGTGCCTGGCACGCCCTAGTCCCTGGGACTCTAAAGCAAGGTCCCTGCTCTCCAAGGGCTTAGGTTCCAGTAAGAAGAGGTGGACAAAGAAGCCAGTAACCAAGACAGTTTCAGCAGTGATAAATGCTACTGAGACAGAACAGCTAGGTGAAGGGCAGAGAGGGAAGAGGAGGAGGGGAACTGACTCTAGACAGGAATCTGACCAAGAGGCCAGATGTGCAGACTGGAGAGAGTGCCCCTGGCCTGGGGAATAGTTAAGAGCAAAGGCCTGAAGCCACAGGAAAACAGGATCATCAATCATTCCACAAAGGCTGTCGAGACAGACAGGGAAACAGTGGCCGGCGGTCATCCTTTTCTATCAGGTCAGGAATCACGTGTTTTCAGCTCGCCCTTCTCTCCCCAGCACACACTCTGTAAATAAAGGGAGACCCCATGAGTGAATGAATGCACGGCCATCCTGGGTCTTGAGATAGGACGAGAGGGCAAAGTGCCAGGTGTAGCAGAAGCGCAGAGGGGATCATCTATTTGGCACAGGCTGAGAAGACTCCCCAGGGAAAGTGGTTACTGAGGCAAAATTTGAAAAACAGATTAGAGTTGCCAATCCAGACGAGGAGGAGAATGGGGGTATTTGAGCAAAGGGAAAGACAAGTACACTCATGGGTTGGACAAACTATAAGCGATTAGCTATGGCCAGAGGATAAAATCACTGTTGGAATGGAGGACTGGGTAGCTCAATCAGTTGAGTGTCCAACTCTTTTTTTTTTTCCTTTTAAGATTTATTTGTTTATTTATTTATTTGTCAGAGAGAGGAAACTCACAAAGAGGGGGAGCAACAGGCAGAGGGAGAAGCAGACTTCCTCTGAGCAAGGAGCCTGTGGTGGGACTTGATCCCAAAACCCTGGGATCATGACCTGAGCTGAAGGCAGACACTTCACCAGCTGAGCCACCCAGGCATCCCTGAGCGCCCACCTCTTGATTTCAGCTCAGGTCATAATCTCAGAGACCTGAGATTGATCCCCACAAGTACATAGCCTGCTTAAGATTCTTTCTCTCCCTCTCCTTCTCCCCCAATACCCCTCTCTCTCTAAAAACAAAACAAAACACTGTTGGTAAATTGTGAAAAGGCAGTGAAGACAGAAAAGGGTACAGCAGATTCTGAGGAGTCTTGAGTTCCGTAATTTAGCCTTTGTCCTTAAGAAAAGGGAAAGCACCTGAGGACCTTTGACCAGGCCTGAGGCACAGGCTGTCTCCCTGGGTGGAAAGACAGCACTAGCTGTCCTTCAGAGAACAGACTTCAGGGGGCACCTGACCAGAAGCAAAGACAGAGATTAGGAGGTAGCAGCAAAAATCCCAATGAGGGAAAGATAAAATCCTGGATCAGAGCAATTGCCTTAGGAATGGAGAGGAAGGGATAAATGCAGAACATTTAGGAAGATAAACCCATTAGATGAAGCAGTCAGGGGGAAGGGGGAGGGAAGGAGGAATCACGGGGGAGGGCAAGGTTTCTGGGTTTAGCAGGAGGGGGTTAATGGTGGATTAATTCAGATGGGTCATACACGGAACGGATGCAGATTTGAGTGGGGAATTGGGATGCCCTTGGTTGGGGACTGGTTTACTTAAACGAACCTTTGGGTCTCCCAAGTGAATGTCTTGCACATTCATGAAAGGAGTCTTGGCAGGAGGTAGACATTGAGCAGTCACCAACATATAGAACAGTGGCTGATGCGCTGGACAGGAATGAGCTCACCCAGGCAGGAACTGTGTTTTTAGTGGGAGCACCATGGATAAAACACTGAGGAATGAGCATTTATGGGGCAGAAAAAGACAGAGGCTGCTTCTCTGTTCAGAAGGCTCTCTATAAATCTGTGATTTGAGGTTTGGTCCTCTGCCTTCTGCCCAACTCCACAGCCCCCAGCGGTCCTTAAGACAGAACCATCCCTTTGCTGAGGCACCAGACCCCTGAGTTCTCTTCTCGACGTCTGTCCAGTGATTAGGGTCATTAGGCTCACCCATCTATCCTTCATGCTCACAGCCTTTGCTCTGGAATAGGCTTTTCTCCCTCCCTTCTGGATTCTGCAACAACCCATCTGGTCCCTCTGACTTCACATCTCTGTGCGTTGATAGGCTCCAAGTAGTGTCTGCGGATTTGCTTTATGAAGACCAGGTATCTCTATCCTTGCCCCAGCTGCTTACTATCTAATTGTCCCATCTCCTTAGCTTTTCCTCTTTCCTAGAATATTCATCTTTAGAGCTCAGCTGGTGCTCTGTTTTTTAGCCCCTGTGTCTCCTCTTCTCTGAGGCAGTTCACAGAAATCTGCCAGCCTGTGTCTCCTGCTTGTAGGACTCACGCTTATGCTGGCCCCAACCCTGACTGGCAACCTCCAGTAGCTGGTGAAGAGGTCTCACCTCCCTCCCCAGCTTTTGAACAGCTCTCAGGTAGAAACTCTGCTATAACGCTATTCACCAAGTCAAACCAGCAAGCTGACCCAGAAAGCTCATTGTCTTGCCAAAGTTCAGACAATCGGCAAGTGGCAGAGCCAGGATTTGACACTGAGCGGACTTACCTGGGTCTCCTACAGCTCAGCTGGCCCCAGATGAAACGAAGCCAGGACTGGCTGTATTTTAGGCAACAAAAACAAAGCAAGTAGACTCTCAATTCATCAACACTTCTGGAACCGCACTGATCCTCCCCCTACATGGAGCGCTAGAAAGAATGTGTGATTTGAGGTCAGACAGACCTTGGTTGGAATCCAGTAGCTTCTGTGATACTCTAGATGACTTAAAGTCTCAGATTTTTTTAAAAATTATTATTTTTAATATTATTTTATTATTTTAATTTATTTTTATTTTATTCATTTTTGAATTTATTTTTTAA